ACTCGGTTCACCTGCGATGGGAGGACCAGGCCCAGAGGAGGCGGACTTCCTTTTCAGGAGCCTTCAGATAGGAAATCTCCTAGGATTTCTTTCTTTCTCTTTGATCTACTTCCAACTCTTTTCTCCAAGACCTTTTTCGGATCCCTCCTGCCCAGGACCTAAGGGGGCGGTGCCCTTCCCTCCAGGTCCCTTCCTGCCTGGGTGTCTTCCGAGCCCAAGATCACCCTGAAAGTTACTGCCCACCAGAGACAGCGAGAGGACCAAGGAGGACGGCGGATGCGGTGGGAACCACAGAGTGACCGCGCATCTGAGTCTCCTGGGCTCTTCGCAAATTGAAGCTTCCCCCTGAAGCTTCTCTTCAAGTCACAGGGAAGGGAAGGGTGGCTGCTGACCCAGCAGGAGAAGCCCCTAGGGAGGACCTGGCCCTACCCCCTGGGCCCTGAAGACAGGCCTTGCCAAGGCTGATTTTGACTGAGAGCCCCAAAGAAAAGGCTCAAGGGCAGCCCAAACTCCAACCCCAAGATTAAGGCTTTCAAATGTCTGAGTTTTTCCAGGTTGGTCAGTAGAATCTATCCCGCCTTTATCAGGAGACTCCTTTGCCAAAATTCAAAGACCTGGGATTCTTGCTGCTTGCGGCAAAGAAAGCCAATCACTGATATGACTATTCCCAAAGAATGGGTTTTAATACGGTGCTGCAGCGGGGGGAGATGAGAACTCAGTCTCAAATCCATCTCCCTGACCAACCAAAACCAGATGTTTAGATCACAGGGAAGAAATGTAACAATGTATAAGAAAACAAGAACTAGGGAGGGCAAAGAAGCAATCACAGTGAATGAGGGGTCCAGCATCTCACTGTCTGGATGACTTTCAGTTCTTTGATAGATTGAGAGGCCTGAAGGAACTCAAATAAAACAAACATTAAGTTTCAAACTTTAAGAACAGAAGCTTTCTATGTTTACCAAAAAATCTACATTTTCTTGGTTTCAGATCAAGAAAGAGAAAGATTGTACAGTCTGCAGTTACCTAAATAGGAAACCAAATAATTTTCTGAACAACAGGATGTATGGGGTCAAAGAACGACCACCCTACAGAACGGTGTTTTGGCCTGAGCATAGCGAATGATAAAGCTGCATCATCTAAATGGGATTAAGCTGCACGTGTGGGCTGGATGTGGTGGCTCACACCTGTAATCCCAGCACTTTGGGAGGCTGTGGGTGGATCACTTGAGATCAGGAGTTTGAGACAAGCCTGACCAACATGGTGAAACCCTGTCTCTAATAAAAACACAAAAATTAGCCAGACGTCATGGTGGGCATCTGTAATCCCAGCTACTAGGGCGGCTGAAGCAGGACTATTGCTTGAACCTGGGAAATGGAGGT